AAGGATGCACATTGTGAATTCTTTGAGTACACAATGGTGTTGATATTATGTTCAGTAGTCAAAGGAGCTTGCAAAGAAAAGCGTCTGGACTTCTTTAAGTTGGTTGAAGACGTTTCACCTCTCATCCGAGAAGCTTCTTCAGTTCAGTAGTTAGAAAAGAAATCTCCATGTTTGTTTTAATGTGATTCTAATGGGGTTGAATCCAAAGGGTGGAATGTGGTGGTAGATTTCTTTTCTCATGTATTAATCACATATTTTAACCATATCACTTTAGTATAGTAAGAGCACTCCTGTCACCAGTTTGTATGCATGTGGAATGTGATCACAAATGTGCCCCAAGTTTTATTGCACCTTCACAGCAGACTCATTTCCCTTTTGAGGGCTCTGGACATCCTGTTGTAAAGGAGGTGAGGGTTGGTCAGAGCTTTTCTTAGACTGAACAGTTAAGGATCTGCTAATAATTGATCTGCTGTGGAATGTTCTTTGTTTAAGAGTGTCTGTGTCTGCGTATATAAGATGTAAGGGCAGTGGCCACAATTCAGAGATGGTCCTAGTATTTCACTGGGATGCTCTCTCCACATTGCAATGTGTTTATTAAACCCACTTCAAATCAAGCTCACTGGGTGTGTTGCAGGTTATTATTAAATTTTCCACAACATCACCCTGCCTGGGATAGGTTTACCAGGGCCCTGCCCTGGAGCCAGGCCTGGGGAGGGTGCCTGAGAGCAAGCATCTGATGGTTGGGTCTTAGTCCATGGGGCCTGGCTGGGCACAGTCCGAAAAAAGCCCATCTGCCTGTAGGCCCACCACCCGCAGGAGGTGCCGTAGGAGTTGGGTGAAATGTGTGTTGGGCGGCAGCCAGGGGTGGAGGCCATGGCGGCCAGATCCCCAGCTACCAAGACTAGAAAGTGGGACATGGAGTGTCACCTCTCTGGTGGAGGAGGAACCTAAATTAGTAATTGAGGTTTAGAGGTATCAGCTAGATATAGTTGGGCTCACCTCAACATCCTGGTGGACGAGGGCATTAGTTGCCTGTGCCTTCGGGTCAGGAAATGGTTTTCTGACTGTCATCTGCACTTATGCACCCAACGACGGTTCAGAGCACCCAGCCTTGTTGGAGTCTCTGGGAAGGATGCTTGAGGGTGCTCCACTAGGGGACTCTGCTGTCCTACTGGCAGACTTCAACGACAGCAAGATTTGGAGGGGCGTGATTGGGAGGAACAGCCTCCTGGATCTGAACCTGAGTGGTGTTTTGTTGTTGGACTTTTGTGCAAATCAGCAAATCACAGTTTGTCCATAATGAACACCATGTTCGAACATAAGGGTGTCCATAAGTGCACGTGGCAGGACACCAGGTCGATGATTGATTTTGTAATCGTATCACCAGACCTGCGGCCATATGTTCTGGACACTCGGGTAACGAAAGCGGCTGAGCTGTTAACTGATCACCACCTGGTGGTGAGTTGTATCAGGTGGCGAATGCTGGACAGAATGCCTGGCAAAGGACCCGGCCCACAATGCACACCTCCGGTAAAGAGTCAACAGCAATCCAAGGGAGACTGGGGACATTGAGTCCGAATGGACCATGTTCAGCACCTCCATTGCTAAAGCCGCTGCACTGAGTTGTGGCCACAAGGTGGGTGGGGCCTGTCGTGGTGGTAACCCCCGAAACAAACTGTAGACACCAGAGTTGAAGGGAGCCATTAGGCTGAAGGAGGAGTCTTATCAGGCTTGGTTTGTCTGTGGGACTTCGGAGGCGGTTGATGGGTCCGACAGGCCAAGCAGAACATAGCTCAAGCAGTGGCTGAAGCAAAAGCTCAGGCGTGGAAGGAGTTTGGACAGGCCATGGAAAAAGACTTTCGGACTGCCTCGAAGAGATTCTTCTATACATAGCGCTCCAACCGCACTATACATAGTGCAGGTGGAGCACTGCTGACTTCAATTGAGAACATTGTCAGACGGTGGAAGGAATACTTTGATGATCTCCTTAATCTGACTGGCATGTATTAGTGGAGAAACCAGAGACTGGGGACGAGGGGACGACTCATCTTTCTCCAAGGGCGAGGTCACTGAGGCAGTTACCAGGGTGTGTACTCTATAGGGGGATCACTCTCCTCAGCCTCCCTGGGAAAGTCTATGCCAGGGTGCTGGAAAGGAGAGTCCGCCCTTTAGTCACACCTTGGATACAGGGGGAACAATGTGGTTTTCGTCCTGGTCATGGAACAATGGACCAACATTTTACCCTCTCAAGGATACTTGAGGGTGCATGGGAGTTTGACCAACCAGTCTACAAGTGGACCTGGTGAAGGCATTCGATCGTGTCCCTCGGAGAGTCCTGTGCTGTGCCATTTTATTGGAAGTGACCCATGACCGCTGGCCAAAACTGACATCTATATTAATTGCATTTCATTTTGCATGCGCAAACAGACTCAAGAAAAAAGGGAATACATACGCACTTGACATGTTTATTGAACATCTTGAACAAATAACTCTCTAAACATTTATCCGCATTAACTTGGGCCTGTTACTCCTCTTTCAGCCAGTTACTGAGACAAGCTAACTAACAGGAATACGTTATTTTCTTCTGTGAGGATCATCCAATGTGACCCGACAACCTTGTCTAGACAACGGCCTTGCAATTATATTACAGACAAGATATTTAAATATTATATCTGAAGTCCTCGTCCTCGTCCTCGAAAGCTTTAATTATTGAATTACAAAAAAAATCTCTTAGCTGACATTAAACATGATGGAGAATTTATTCACAAACACTGAGTAAGAAACAACATTTAGACACACAATACCTCTCTGCAGCAGCAGCACCTGGTCCTCTGTGAAAACTAAGACCAGTATCCAATGACTGGGCATGCTTTAAGGCCACATTCCTATTTTCAGTTTGAGGAAGATCTGGTCTCAGAAACATCCTGACAGAAAAAAAGAAAAACACTTTTCTTTATGTTATTGTAAAAAAAAAAAAAAAAAAATCATTTTAAAATGTAAATGTTTTAATCAAAGTAAAGGAATAAGGGGAGGAAACCCAAAATAAAGACGTCACACACATGATGGACCACATTAAATCAGAAATAACAAATGATCCATTTATCAAACTATTTCACTGACAACATTTTATCCTCTGTAGAGAATATGAGTATAACCTCTGCACTAGCAGGATTACCATTATTTTATTCAGTTACAACATCTGTGTGATCTTTGTCAGGTACAGAGAAACTTTGAAATGGTAAAAAAAAATAATGGTAAGTGTGCAGAGGTTATACTCTTATTCTGCACTAAGATTTCTTTCCCTCTGCGTACCTGTAGATCAGCGGTCTACGCCACAGACCGGTTTATGCCCGACAATATTTTCACGGACCGGCCTTTAAGGTGTCGC